GGAGGCTCTAGCCCCTTCCAGAGCTGAGATATCGAAACTCAAAAATTCGGCCCGAAAAAAAAACGACAGTGGTACCCCTTACGTTTTTTTTTTTTTTGGGCGAAAAATTAAGTTTCTCCAATCTTCCCAAAACTCTGGATTCTGATAGAGGGCCATGAGACTTAGACCTGAGTGCAAAAATGGAGGCTCTAGCCCCTTCCAGAGCTGAGATATCGAAACTCAAAAATTCGGCCCGAAAAAAAAAACGACAGTGGTACCCCTTACGTTTTTTTTTTTGGGCGAAAAATTAAGTTTCTCCAATCTTCCCAAAACTCTGGATTCTGATAGAGGGCCATGAGACTTAGACCTGAGTGCAAAAATGGAGGCTCTAGCCCCTTCCAGAGCTGAGATATCGAAACTCAAAAATTCGGCCCGAAAAAAAAAACGACAGTGGTACCCCTTACGTTTTTTTTTTTTGGGCGAAAAATTAAGTTTCTCCAATCTTCCCAAAACTCTGGATTCTGATAGAGGGCCATGAGACTTAGACCTGAGTGCAAAAATGGAGGCTCTAGCCCCTTCCAGAGCTGAGATATCGAAACTCAAAAATTCGGCCCGAAAAAAAAACGACAGTGGTACCCCTTACGTTTTTTTTTTTTTGGGCGAAAAATTAAGTTTCTCCAATCTTCCCAAAACTCTGGATTCTGATAGAGGGCCATGAGACTTAGACCTGAGTGCAAAAATGGAGGCTCTAGCCCCTTCCAGAGCTGAGATATCGAAACTCAAAAATTCGGCCCGAAAAAAAAACGACAGTGGTACCCCTTACGTTTTTTTTTTTTGGGCGAAAAATTAAGTTTCTCCAATCTTCCCAAAACTCTGGATTCTGATAGAGGGCCATGAGACTTAGACCTGAGTGCAAAAATGGAGGCTCTAGCCCCTTCCAGAGCTGAGATATCGAAACTCAAAAATTCGGCCCGAAAAAAAAACGACAGTGGTACCCCTTACGTTTTTTTTTTTGGGCGAAAAATTAAGTTTCTCCAATCTTCCCAAAACTCTGGATTCTGATAGAGGGCCATGAGACTTAGACCTGAGTGCAAAAATGGAGGCTCTAGCCCCTTCCAGAGCTGAGATATCGAAACTCAAAAATTCGGCCCGAAAAAAAAACGACAGTGGTACCCCTTACGTTTTTTTTTTTTGGGCGAAAAATTAAGTTTCTCCAATCTTCCCAAAACTCTGGATTCTGATAGAGGGCCATGAGACTTAGACCTGAGTGCAAAAATGGAGGCTCTAGCCCCTTCCAGAGCTGAGATATCGAAACTCAAAAATTCGGCCCGAAAAAAAAAACGACAGTGGTACCCCTTACGTTTTTTTTTTTTGGCGAAAAATTAAGTTTCTCCAATCTTCCCAAAACTCTGGATTCTGATAGAGGGCCATGAGACTTAGACCTGAGTGCAAAAATGGAGGCTCTAGCCCCTTCCAGAGCTGAGATATCGAAACTCAAAAATTCGGCCCGAAAAAAAAACGACAGTGGTACCCCTTACGTTTTTTTTTTTTGGGCGAAAAATTAAGTTTCTCCAATCTTCCCAAAACTCTGGATTCTGATAGAGGGCCATGAGACTTAGACCTGAGTGCAAAAATGGAGGCTCTAGCCCCTTCCAGAGCTGAGATATCGAAACTCAAAAATTCGGCCCGAAAAAAAAACGACAGTGGTACCCCTTACGTTTTTTTTTTTTTTGGCGAAAAATTAAGTTTCTCCAATCTTCCCAAAACTCTGGATTCTGATAGAGGGCCATGAGACTTAGACCTGAGTGCAAAAATGGAGGCTCTAGCCCCTTCCAGAGCTGAGATATCGAAACTCAAAAATTCGGCCCGAAAAAAAAACGACAGTGGTACCCCTTACGTTTTTTTTTTTTTGGCGAAAAATTAAGTTTCTCCAATCTTCCCAAAACTCTGGATTCTGATAGAGGGCCATGAGACTTAGACCTGAGTGCAAAAATGGAGGCTCTAGCCCCTTCCAGAGCTGAGATATCGAAACTCAAAAATTCGGCCCGAAAAAAAAACGACAGTGGTACCCCTTACGTTTTTTTTTTTGGGCGAAAAATTAAGTTTCTCCAATCTTCCCAAAACTCTGGATTCTGATAGAGGGCCATGAGACTTAGACCTGAGTGCAAAAATGGAGGCTCTAGCCCCTTCCAGAGCTGAGATATCGAAACTCAAAAATTCGGCCCGAAAAAAAAAACGACAGTGGTACCCCTTACGTTTTTTTTTTTTGGGCGAAAAATTAAGTTTCTCCAATCTTCCCAAAACTCTGGATTCTGATAGAGGGCCATGAGACTTAGACCTGAGTGCAAAAATGGAGGCTCTAGCCCCTTCCAGAGCTGAGATATCGAAACTCAAAAATTCGGCCCGAAAAAAAAAACGACAGTGGTACCCCTTACGTTTTTTTTTTTTGGGCGAAAAATTAAGTTTCTCCAATCTTCCCAAAACTCTGGATTCTGATAGAGGGCCATGAGACTTAGACCTGAGTGCAAAAATGGAGGCTCTAGCCCCTTCCAGAGCTGAGATATCGAAACTCAAAAATTCGGCCCGAAAAAAAAACGACAGTGGTACCCCTTACGTTTTTTTTTTTTGGGCGAAAAATTAAGTTTCTCCAATCTTCCCAAAACTCTGGATTCTGATAGAGGGCCATGAGACTTAGACCTGAGTGCAAAAATGGAGGCTCTAGCCCCTTCCAGAGCTGAGATATCGAAACTCAAAAATTCGGCCCGAAAAAAAAACGACAGTGGTACCCCTTACGTTTTTTTTTTTGGGCGAAAAATTAAGTTTCTCCAATCTTCCCAAAACTCTGGATTCTGATAGAGGGCCATGAGACTTAGACCTGAGTGCAAAAATGGAGGCTCTAGCCCCTTCCAGAGCTGAGATATCGAAACTCAAAAATTCGGCCCGAAAAAAAAAACGACAGTGGTACCCCTTACGTTTTTTTTTTTTGGGCGAAAAATTAAGTTTCTCCAATCTTCCCAAAACTCTGGATTCTGATAGAGGGCCATGAGACTTAGACCTGAGTGCAAAAATGGAGGCTCTAGCCCCTTCCAGAGCTGAGATATCGAAACTCAAAAATTCGGCCCGAAAAAAAAACGACAGTGGTACCCCTTACGTTTTTTTTTTTTTGGGCGAAAAATTAAGTTTCTCCAATCTTCCCAAAACTCTGGATTCTGATAGAGGGCCATGAGACTTAGACCTGAGTGCAAAAATGGAGGCTCTAGCCCCTTCCAGAGCTGAGATATCGAAACTCAAAAATTCGGCCCGAAAAAAAAAACGACAGTGGTACCCCTTACGTTTTTTTTTTTGGGCGAAAAATTAAGTTTCTCCAATCTTCCCAAAACTCTGGATTCTGATAGAGGGCCATGAGACTTAGACCTGAGTGCAAAAATGGAGGCTCTAGCCCCTTCCAGAGCTGAGATATCGAAACTCAAAAATTCGGCCCGAAAAAAAAACGACAGTGGTACCCCTTACGTTTTTTTTTTTGGGCGAAAAATTAAGTTTCTCCAATCTTCCCAAAACTCTGGATTCTGATAGAGGGCCATGAGACTTAGACCTGAGTGCAAAAATGGAGGCTCTAGCCCCTTCCAGAGCTGAGATATCGAAACTCAAAAATTCGGCCCGAAAAAAAAACGACAGTGGTACCCCTTACGTTTTTTTTTTTTGGGCGAAAAATTAAGTTTCTCCAATCTTCCCAAAACTCTGGATTCTGATAGAGGGCCATGAGACTTAGACCTGAGTGCAAAAATGGAGGCTCTAGCCCCTTCCAGAGCTGAGATATCGAAACTCAAAAATTCGGCCCGAAAAAAAAAACGACAGTGGTACCCCTTACGTTTTTTTTTTTTGGGCGAAAAATTAAGTTTCTCCAATCTTCCCAAAACTCTGGATTCTGATAGAGGGCCATGAGACTTAGACCTGAGTGCAAAAATGGAGGCTCTAGCCCCTTCCAGAGCTGAGATATCGAAACTCAAAAATTCGGCCCGAAAAAAAAACGACAGTGGTACCCCTTACGTTTTTTTTTTTGGGCGAAAAATTAAGTTTCTCCAATCTTCCCAAAACTCTGGATTCTGATAGAGGGCCATGAGACTTATACCTGAGTGCAAAAATGGAGGCTCTAGCCCCTTCCAGAGCTGAGATATCGAAACTCAAAAATTCGGCCCGAAAAAAAAAACGACAGTGGTACCCCTTACGTTTTTTTTTTTGGGCGAAAAATTAAGTTTCTCCAATTTTCCCAAAACTCTGGATTCTGATAGAGGGCCATGTTAAACCATAGGATTAAACTTCATGGTAAAATTGTGTTAAACCATATGATTAAACTTCATGGTAAAATGGTATACACTGAATTTTTAAACACATTTGGGATTCCAATATCTCCAAGAGAATAGGCTTGTTTTGATGCAGTACCTGGAGGTTTTTTGAGACTTTTCGAGGCAGTTGTGAACTCATAGCAATCAAAGTTTAAAAAAAATTATGTTAAACGGTATTGATATTATGCTACTGCTAGTAAATTAATAATACATTTTCAGATGCCTGATACATTTCCCCGCAACACCTCGAAATAGATTTTGGTCGTCTGTGATCATTTTGAACGTTCCCATGATGCATTTAAAAAGCAAAACTGCGCATTTGCGCAATATCATTGGCCACCAAGGTTATCAGTCAAATGGCCATACGACTTCCGTGTTGGCTATGAACGCTTGCTTTCCATTTGGAGATGATTCGATGATTCTAAATCGGCTCAACAGATAATGTAGCATGTTTTATGACGTAAGGTTAAACTAAAACTCAGCGAGTCAGCGACCACAGTCAGTCACCCTATCTAAAGATAAGCTAATAAATAAGTTATTTATTATTTATTTTAAAAAAAAATAATTTGTATTTAGTCAGTCACACCAGAGTCGTTGAAAACCATTTAACGGCTCTGAGTCACCCAATCTGTCAGTCACATACCAGAACAGTAAAGAAAGGAAGGTCAGTCACGCTGATTCCAATGACGTCATCATATGACTTCCCGTAACAGTCGAAGTACGGAAGTGATCTGGACTGGCCGAAAACTTTCCCGTAAGATTCATTTTAAGTCGTTTCTGTTCCTTGAGGGTGCAATCACTAAGTATGGCGTATCCTGGGTATAATAATGTAAGTATCACTTAAATGTTTTATGTTGTAGAATGTAAAATTAATTTTATAATTAGCTAGTTTAAGAAACGCCAGATTGGTTGAAAAATCTGTAACTTTATGTGTCTTGTTAGGCACCAAATTGTTACATTTAATAAATTACATATAATTTAATAGCGGTAATTATTACATTTCCTCTAATATGGATTAGCCATAGCCTACCGATTGACCACAGCGGGTACCCGAGCCCTGTATCAGAAATGTAACTTTTTAAGGGCTATTATTTGCCCACCCGGTTTTCTAGGGCAAGGACATGTTCAACAATACAATACATAAGCCATTACATTTGTGTTTTGTTTTCCATTGAAACATAAACATTACTAATACAAATTATCTTGAGATTTAAAATTGTGGAATAATATTTTTGTCTTAAAAATGTCTTGTAATGTGTTTTAAGCATAAACTTTCACTTCCACATGTCTAGATGTTTTTATTTTATATATATATATATATATATATATATATATATAAACAGCAAGTCATCCATCTATGTCAAAAACATGCTAAATGAATCAAGTGAAATCAATTCTGCACACACCCACACATATTTTTTAAGGGCAAGGACATTTTCAACAATACAATACATAAGCCATAACATTTTTGTATTGTTGTCGTTTCCATTGAAACATAGAAAGAAACATTAGCAAATTGTATTGAAATTTAAAATTGTTTAACCTACTAATAATTTGTCTCGTTTTAAGCATAACATTTCACTTCACTGCACGTCATCCATCTATGTCAAAAACATAAGTTAAATGAATCAAATAAAATAAATTCTCCGGCTGAATTCCTACACTGTCGGGACTTGCCACTGGGGAAACCTGTTTTTGCCCTTAAAGTTAGATCCCCGCTGTTTTCTGAGAGTGTATAAGCCCAAATATTTATTTATATATTTTGTCAGTTTTATTGACATTTTCTGCTCCAAGTCATGACTTTCTATATGCCTGTCTAATTTAGCATTAACAGGTTAAAGTAAAAAACAAAAAACAAAAAAAACAACAAAAACAGGCATATGACTATAGTAGCATACATGTGGTTTCACCACAGAAAGTCCATGTATAGCCTTTTGGCTATGAACAAGCTGTAGGCTGGAGTTTATTTAATAGGCCAAATAGTGATTGGTCTGTACTCTTGGTAAAACCCAGTAAAAAGTTATGAGTTTAATTGGACAATTGTGTGTGTGTTGAAACAAATCCAAGTGGCGTAATACATGATGTTCAGCAATTAGTTGGTTGATACTTTCTTTTGAACAGACACTAACGGTTTATTTAGATTGCACATTTTATATAGCTGTAGCCTATTAGGGCTGTTGCCATGGGCAGAACACTTGAACCCATGAACCGAAATTTACATCTGAAAATTATTTCTTGTTTTTAATCGATCTGCATTTCAATGAACCAAGATATTTTAAATTCAAACAATGTTGTGTTTGTGCTTTTTTGCCATGTCATATCACTGTAGCCACCTCAGTTTTTCTTCTTTACTTAAAGGAGTAGTTCACTTTTAAAAAAAACTTCTGCTGATAATTTACTCACCCCCATGTCATCCAAGATATCCATGTCTTTCTTTCTTCAGTCGAAAAGAAATTAAGGTTTTTGATGAAAACTTTCCAGGATTTTTCTCCATGTAATGCACTTTACTGGGAACCAAACAGTTCAAGGTCCAAAAGACACTTTCAGTACAAACTTCAAACTGTTCAAAGGGCTTTAAACGATTCCAGACGATGAATAAGGGTCTTATCAAGCGAAACGATCGCTTATTTAAAAAAAAAAAAAAAAAAATGGTCGCCTTGCTCTGTTCTGTGATGCGCATTCGTGACTCTCCTGTTCGAACTCGTTTATCAAAATGAACTAATCTTTTTCCGCGTCATTTGGTTCATTCAACGAACGAAATTAACAAATTGACTCGGGGAAAAGATTTTGTTCATTTTGATGAACAAGTTCGAACAACTTCTAGTTGCAGAGTTGCTTTACTGAAAGCTACAGCTACTGTCACTATGGTACACCTATAGACTACTATACACCTAAGAGTTTATATTCAGACTATTTTGGACTGGTTCGGGTCGTACCACTGCGGAGTAGCCCAGTACCTAAGTGACTCATAGAGGTAAACAGAGAGAAGTAGCTCCGGCTACAATGTTAAAGTTGCACAGGTGAGTCCTCAGAGACTCCCGCTGCCATTCTCTCTCCAAAATATACTGTTGTCAAGGCAAAGTTGTGTCAAAACGCGCAGAACAGAGCATACAGTATGCATATGCACTGAAACCGCATGCTGAAAACAGAGCTGTTTTTGACCAGGTAAAATTAGTATTTTCTTACAATACTAATGAGAATTTTTAATTAAAGTATATTACAAACTTTTCATTTAGACCCTAAAGAATCAAATTAAATTGTATGAAAATGGCATTTTATGACCCCTTTAAAAGGTTGATACCACTGTCATATGTGCAATATAAATGTTTGTATGCAGCTCGGTGTATATATAACTCATTTGATTATTAAGTAAACTTTGAGGTTTGGTTTGTCAGGCAAATATATATATATTTTTTTCCGATCAGTACAGTAGGCTGCTTAAAAGTGTCACTTTTTTACTTGCAGTTTGGTGGTCCAATGCCAGGAGTTCCTGCTCAGGGTATGGGAATGCCAGGGGTCCCTGCTGCAGGTGGTTACCCACCACAACAATATGGGGCGTACCAGGGGACTTTTCCTGCTGCTCCTGCCCAGGACCCAATGTGGGGCTATTTCACAGCAATAGCTGGTCAGGTGAGAGCTGCTAGCTATACTGTCTCTTCTGTCACATCATGTTGTTCATGTAGTAAACATAAATCTAATGTCAGGATGGTGAAGTTGATGCTGAAGAACTTCAAAGGTGCCTCACCCAGACTGGAATCAGCGGCACCTACAATCGTGAGTGCAAATATCGTGGAAGGATTTTTAGTTCCAAATGCTTGGACTAACAAATCAATAATACAGAGCGAGTGGATCGTGCTCACTTGCGCAGCTTCACACTTTTTTTTTTTTTTTTTTGCAGCCTTCAGTTTGGAAACCTGCAGGATTATGATTTCCATGCTGGATGTATCCTTCACAGAAAAATGAAACCACTCTCTACAACTTGAGTCAAAAGTTTGCTTCATGCAGTATCCCAACATCTTGATGTGGTTAAGATTCTTAAAGCAGGTGTGTACAGAGAGATCACACCGGAAAGATGGGTTTCAATGAGTTTAAAGAACTGTTCACTGTGCTAAACGGCTGGAAGCAGAACTTCGTAATGGTGGACAGGGACTGCAGTGGAACTGTGGATCCTCATGAGATGTCCCAGTGCCTTGTTAACATGGGTGAGTGTGACCGCTTTCATAGAAGTATAACTGAGATCAAAAAGTAGCTTGTTCTCAGGGTAAAATATCTCTCAAAGAATAGCAAAGAAAAATGTGTGTCATGATCGCACAGGGTTCCGGGTTAGCCCACAGACACAGAATGCCATCATCAAACGCTACAGCAAGAATGGAAAGATCTACTTTGATGACTATGTGGCGTGTTGTGTGAGGCTAAGGGCACTTACAGGTGAGGCTTTTTGTAAAATTTAGGAATGCAAATATATACAAAACTTGACTATTATAATATATCACTGATTATAGTTATACTAAATATTCTGCTAATTGTATTTTTGATCAAACACTGTGTGACTTTATTTGTTTTTATGTAGATAACTTTAGGAGGAGAGATACAATGCAGCAGGGAATGGTGAACTTCCAGTATGATGATGTAAGTTAAGACAAAAATTTCCCATTTAGCTGCCTATATTTTCAGCCTCACTTCCACTTATTTTTAAAATCTAAGATGTTTTTCTACTGATTAATTGTAGAAGTAAAATGGGTTACTTCTTGAAAGCATATAGGAAGCTGTTGTAACATCTTCAATTTCCTCTTGCAGTTTCTCTTGTGTACTATGTCTCTCTGAAGAGGATTAATGACAAGTACAGTATACACTCCAGGAAGAGCACTGAATGACTGAAAGTGCGAAGAAATATATTTGCTAATGCCAGTATAATGTTATATGTGAACGTAGGAGTAAACCATATATTACTCGATATTGTTAACAAAATATGTGCCAAGGCAGACCTCAATTGTTTTTAAATGATCTTTTTCATATTCATTCTTTATAAATTCTGTTTATTATGTTAAAATATAACCACACTTACCATGTATTTTGCCAATAAAACATGGTGCATCTTAAAGAGTTGTGTTCTTGCTTTATTTAGCAGCAAGGACAGTGGGAATGTGCTGCTGTGGTTCATGTATGTAGTAAAAATCAGTGCTGGGGGAAATGCGTTACAATTACGTAATCAGAATACTTTTTTCAAGTAACTAGCAAAGTAATACTGCTTTTTAATTTACATTTATTTACTGACAGCTTTCCTGTCTGTGTGTTGTTGAGAGGAGGTGCAGTGTGTGCTGGCTAAACATGAGCTGGCTTGTTTGTAGTTCTAGACTAAATGTGAGCATGTATTTACTCGTCTCACTTGCACAAAAACAGATTAAGTATTCCTCAAGTCAAGTGACCTTTAGTTAAATAGCTTTTAACCATATAGATTGTTTCCAGCTATACATTTGATTATAGGAAATTAAAGTATTATTTTGGCATTACAGCAGCTCTAGAATAAGGTTATTGTCCAGCTAAAGTTAGTTTTGATCGATTCACTTCCGTTGCAAAGATCATTAGTTATTAACTTAACCACACTCCGGCCAGTCATCCGCACAACAACAGTGCCTGGTGGCTTGAGAACACAAACCGTGAAATAGGATCCAAGGTACAAGCATTTTGAAACGCGTCATCTTCGTGTAAACTTCAAAAATGCGAATCTGTGAAAAAGCTGATGGTGTGCACTTGCGCATTACGCGTTTAGTCTATCGGTATGCGTGTAAGTCTCTCTTTACAAATTTACCTCAACAAATTACTTGTCTGGCCTTAAATTCATAATACAGAATTTTGAACTGGAATCATTTTGACAAAGTTTTATATGTGCCGAGGTAAAGGGAAGGAGGCCTTCACAGGGAAGAGACTAGTTGACACTTCAGGACTGCATTGTCGTCGTGTCCAGGCGCAGGTCCTTCATCAGATCTGGATCCGGTGGACTGCGGTAAACTCGGGATAAACAGAGAGTCTAATATTAGCGTAGACGCCATTCTTCTTATGATGCAATGAGTACATTAGGATTTATGAGAAGTGTTTGCAGTTCTGGCTGACCTAATCTATGCAGCCTAACATTGAAATTCTATAAGTCTATGTGTGTATGCTAGTTCAAAGAGTTGTTTGATTAAATGAGTGAAATACAAACTACAAAAATGAAATGTTAAATAACACAAATATACTTTAATCTCACTTTATTAAACAATGTCTTTGCTGCTGAGCTTCGACGATCCTGTTCCCATTTGGTTATTTTTGGTAGCCAAATAAGAAAGTTCTAGGAACCGAAAACTGTTAACTGGGTTCAAATATTAATAAAATAAGCAAATAAATATCACCTTTTTATATTGCTATAATAAGGGGCTGTATCCGAAATCGCATATTCTCTTGAGTAGGTACATAGTCGTAGGCTACATAGCCTACTTACTTCACCACGTTGTCGTTATCACGTGACCTACCAGCATCAGTTGCGTTGCTGTGGCGCATAGGATAGTACTGAGTTCACCGGATTCACTTCAGAATCTCGCCTGAAATTTTTTTTCTAGCTCTTTTAATTATGAATACACTGTTTTTCGTTTATGACATAGTAGGGAGGTATGCGATGTTGAATGCAGCCAGAGGCATACTCTCTTGAGGAGGTATTATTTTGACTGCTGATTTTCTATGTATGTGTGTAATTCGGACTTGCTTCATCCACCATGCAGTCATCATTAGGCTATATGAACTGGCTACCGGTGCCATTCAAAAATGCTCTCCTGTGGTCACATGGTATAGGAAAGTGTCCAGCACACTTCAGAATCTCACTGAAAGTTGTAGGTCATCCTTTTGGCCTGCTCTTTTTATGAACTGAGACTTAAACTGATTTTCGCCTTCAATATAGTAAGGATCTTAGTAAGGATGTATGAACTTTCTTCTTTAATCCAGAATGGCAGAATGCAAAGCTAATAGGTTTGTCTATTCTGTGCCCTCTACTGTTCATGTGTGAATTTGCACACATGAACAGTAACACAATATTGGAAGTAACACAATATTGCAAAGCATAACTTTAATCTCGCCCTTAAATTGCTAAAAATAATCTACAGGGATATATTAAAGCAATGAGGCAAATTAAGTTTTGGGTCAGCTATTTTTTTTAATGTTCAATTCAATATATAACTGCATGTGTTTTTAAATTATTATTGTTGCAAATTTTACAGATATGGACAAGCAACAGAAAAAAGTTTGTTTTCATTTTCAGAAAAACCCACTTAAGAATGACCGTTTAATCAATGTGGAAAACAGTTCAATATATAAAAAATAATAAAACACTGAATAAAAAGACATACACAGTGATGCTCTGCATCACTTCACAAACAAGTTTTATTAGTCATCACAAGATACAAAATATATACTTTTTTTTTAAATCATTCTAACATTTTTTCTCTGTTTTGTCAGAGGAATAACAATTAAGCTAATCACAATAACCATAAAGTAGAAAGATTTTGACCGAGGAGGAAAAGAGGGAATTCGATCACTCTGTCTTCAACATACTACAACAGTTTAGCCTGTTCTTTAAAGTCGAATCTGAAAGTCAACATATCTTCCACTTCAAGTTCCTGCTGTCACATGAGCATTTGATAGCTTTCTCATTGAAATGAATTGTGATGGATTCCCATAGGAAAAGAAATGTCCAGTCTGTGTAAAATGGAACTGTATAAACTGTAAAATGGAAATGGATTCTGTAAAATTAACATGCAAGGGGTCGTTTAAAATTCGTAGCGCACATTACATCGAATGTGTGTTAAATATGTTGAAAGCTAACCTTCATGACACTCGTTTTCCCCGCCCCACCACCCCAGTAGACAAGACATAACACTGAAGAAGTGTACGTAACAGGACTAAGTCATCACCATGGTGAAACTGAGGGCAGCACAAAAGAGAGAGCGCAAACACGGAGAAACGGACTTCCCTTTCGATAATTACATTTTTGTTACCAAGAGTGAAGGCAAGGAAGAAATCAGATCTTGAAGAGCGTAAATATAGGTCCAATGTATATATATTTTTTGTGAGTATTAATTTAAAGGAGATTTGATATTACATGCTGTTGGAAGGCAATTTTGGAGAACTAGTTGGGATATGTGGTTTTGAGTGTTTATGTGCAGTAAATCAGAAGTAATAATTAGGGATGCCACAGAGTAATTTTGTAGGCAAGTAGGCTACACTTTCATTAAAAACAAGTAATCATTACTCCTAAAAAACTATGAAACATAATTAAAAAAAAAAAAAAATTCACAAACATATATCTAAATAAACTTTACAAAGGTTTCACAAGATAAGCTATGCCTTTCTTTAAAAAAAAATTACTTTAAATGATAAAACTGAATTTTCACTTAATATTACTCAAGAAATACAAGAGCTGTAAGTCTAAAGGGTCCGCTGTGAAATAATGTGGCACAGGCTGCAAAAACAGTTTCTAATAGAAACGGGCACCTTCTTTCTTTATATAGTGGAAATCATGACTCTAACAAGAACCATGAACCAAGAACCATGATACATTGCACACTTATATCTCTCACCCCTTTTCATCATGTCTCCAGAGTGCCAACCAATTCACTTACTGTAGAAATAATAATTTAACCCTCAGGTGCTCTTCGTTTCGGAGTCACACTTTTTATCTTCCCGGTCAAAAGTGACCGGACACCTAAAAATGAAACTTTCTCCATCCCAGTAAAATCAATGCAATTTATTTTTGTTCTATAATATTTATTCTTTTTAATTTAGTATTTTGAGACAATTTAATTGAATTTATTAATATTTATGCAATATTTATGGTTTATTTTTGCCATGGAAAAATATATATATTTTTCTATATATATATTATTTTTTTCAAAAAAATATTAACGCAGTATTTTTGTGTAATATAGAGTCTAGGCCTTCAGAAAAAGGCCTTTGTAAAAAAAAAAAAGCTTTGTAAATTGTACACACAAAAATTCTCAAAATTTTTGTGTTTTTGTCAATTTCCCATTCATTTCCTATGGTCGGTCATTTTTGACCGAAGAGCACAAGTGTGACTATTTTTTTTACGACCACTTAGCCTGCTTGGATCATGACCTCAATTTTTTTTTTGTGTTCACATACCCAATGCCATAAAAGTCACCAAGTTTCGTAACATTCCGATGAAGCTGTGATTTTTAAAATTTCAAAACAGAAAATTTTTCGGTCAGAAATGACCGAAGAGCACCTGAGGGTTAAGTGAAGGCAAAGGAAAATCAATTTAAGAGTTTTACTAGTTAGTTGTAGAATGATTACTTGACTAGTTGATTACCTGTGCACATCCCTAATACTAACCTCAGTGGCCACATAAGGCATGTATGCACACATGCATGTAATCTGTGAGTGTGAGTGTGTATGTGTGTGTCTGCTCAGTCATGGGCATCCGTTTCACTGGGGTAGAGCTTTGAGAATAGCATTAACCTCTTCAGCAACAGCGGTCAGTGCAAACTCAAACTGATCCTGAGGAGAGAGAAAAGCATAGATCAGCGTTTCTATTTTACGATCCACTACTTCATCCGTCACACTCTCCTTTAATAACACCATCAGCGCCAATGAAAATGATATATAGCAGTTACTGCAACTGAGGAGAACAAGCGAGGGCTGCTGATACTGTGGTGTTTTATGGGTACAATAGTGCTTTTATTTCTCATATGGGGCTTCGTGGTGTTACTGAGCACAGCTCTGCTTCATTACCTTGGTGCGCACCATTCCTGGCCTCTGGTCTCGAATGTGTTCCAGGGTTGCGGCAATATCGATCTCCTTTACTCCTGTGTTAAAAAACAATGCACAACTTTATTAAGCATCTTCAGTATGTTGTACTTTCCTAACACTGATTTCTTCACAAGCTTTACTAGTTTTTATATCATGTTGACCTTTAGCCATGCGGTTCAGGACCATGTCGATCAGGATGTATGTTCCAGTCCGGCCTGTACCATCACTGCACGGAAAGCCAATACTGTGAGCAATACACTCTAAAAATCTAATGTGACATTTGTACACAAGAATACAGGGTGTATTTCAAAACACCTTTTAATAAAATGTTTGGTAGGCTTAGCATCTCTTAAAAAAAACGTTACACTATAAAAACGTTTAATTCCTCGAATGCATCAATGTGTTAAAATACCTGCAGTGCACGATGATGGGGCAGGAGCGTCCACGGTAGCACTTGTTGACTTTCCTGAAGAGTAGAAAGAAAGATTTCATGAAGGAAATACTAGTGCTTTCAAAGCAGCAAAAATTTGTTTTCAAGTTAGATTAGCTCGGAAAATAAAATAACGATTGTAAGTTGTATTGGCATTGTTTTCTGTCAGCTGTTCACAAGAATGCAAATGACAGTGTAAAGGAGTATGCAGTACAAAAGTATGTAATATGTACCATAATAAAATGCCAGAAAAGCATCCAAATCCATTTTTCCAAATATTTCGATGTTGAATAACAAATATTATATTCATGTAAGTCCGATTCTTAAAGAGATACTCCACTTTTTTTGGAAATAGGCTCATTTTACAACTCCCCCAGAGTTAAACAGTTGAGTTTCACCGTTTTCAAATACATTCAGACGACTTTCTGATATTTAGAAGAATATAGGTAACCAGACAGTTTCTGGTCTCATTGACTTCCATAGTAGGAAAAAAATATACTATGGAAGTCAAAGAGACCAGAAACTGTCTGTTTACTTATATTCTTCTAAATATCAGAAAATCGGCTGAATGGATTCGAAAACGGTGAAACTCTCTGGGGGAGTTGTAAAATGAGCCTATTTCCAAAAAAAAAGTGGAGTATCCCTTTAAATGTCTATAAAAACTGTATAGAACTCTATTCAACGGTTAGAGTTTAGTAATTTTAATGGTTTTTAAAGAAGTAAATTATGCTTACTGCTGCATTTATTTGCATATTATTACAATTTAAAACAAAAGTTTTCTATTTTAATATATTTGTAATTTATTCCTGATGACACAGCTGACTCTTCAACAGCCTTTACTCTAGTTTTCAGTGTCACATGATGCTTCAGAAATCATTCTAATATGCTGATTTAGTGCTTAAGAAACTTTTGAGAATATATTATATTATTATTAATTTTGTAGACAGTTTTGATACTTAATATTTGGTATAAACAGTGATATTGTTTTTCAGGATTCTTTGAAGAATACTGTAGTTCAATGTTCAAATGTATTTGTATAACACATTTAAAAACAACCACAGTTGACCAAAAGTGCATGGTTAAGCACCAATAGCTCAGTTTCAATTCTAAGATGAATAGAAAGTTCATTTTATAATTAAATTATTTTAAATTATTTTTTGTAACAATGTAAAAGTCTTTACTGTGACTAGTGTGATCAATTTAATGCATGCTTGCTGAATAAAAGTTAAATAATTATTTAAAATATTCCTTACCTTGAACATTTGAAAGGTAGTGTGCATTTATAATATGATGATTAATCATTTTAATAATTTAACATTTTAACATACAGAACATTTTTAAGTTTAAAAAAATAAAACAAATAAGTATAAATATAAATATGTTGCTCTGTGTAATTTGTTGTTCTTATACGATGATTGTGATTTGTATTGATGATGATGCCAAATATAACAAGTTAAAGTGCGTGTGTGTATATGTGTGTGTGTGTGTGTGTGTGTGTGTGTGTGTGTGTGTGTGTGTGTGTGTGTGGTGTGTGTGTGTGTGTGTGTGTGTGTGTGTGTGTGTGTGTGTGTGTGTGTGTGTGTGTGTGTGTGCGCGTGTGCGTGTGTGTGTGTGTGTGTGCGTGTGTGTATATGTATATATGTGTATATATATATACATATGTATATGTATATATATATATATATGTGTGTGTGTGTGTGTGTGTTTACACATACACAAATACTTCAGATGTCCCAAAAAGACCTTGATCATTTATGTTTTTAATTTTACTTATAACATTGAATGTGTCAGTTTACAGTGAAGGTAGTTCAATAATCTTCACATAATAACCTTTTTATTCCCATTTAAATGAAATTACTGAACCTAAAAATAGGAGCCTAATAAAAAAAGACCGTCTTAGAGGTTTTTGCAAGTCGTCATAAATATATGTTGCTCTGTGTGTTATTTATTTTAATGTTTATATTAATATCATGATGATTGTGATTTGTATTGATGATGATGGCGAATGTTTGGATTTTGATATGGTTAAGCTTTATAACTTAATAAAAAAGCTAAAAGAAAATAGAAATATGTTCTATTGGGTATTATTCATTTTAATGTTTATAATAATATCATGATGTATGCGATTTTTATTGATGACGAAGAATGTTTGGATTTCGATTAATTTTCTCAGTGGCTGGAAAAAAAAAACAGCAAAGCACAACATAAGATTAATTTAATTTACAGAGCAAAGTTTAAACTGTGTTTGGACTGCAATATATGGAGCCTTTGGTGGAGAACAAAAATGAATAAAGATGAGAGGAATTTCAACACAGTGGTCGCCTTGCAAGAACTGTAAAATCGAGGCTAATGTAGAGTGGAGACCCACAGAGATCAGAGGAAAACATCAGGACCACCGCACAGTAGAGAGCCAGAGAGATCAAAAAGAGGAGTGTTATACCAGTCAAGAGCGGTAAGAAACAAGCAACATCAACTTCAGAAAAGCATGTAATGCAAGGATATGTTGGAGAAAGGAGAGACACAGAAAAGGAAATGAAAAGAGACTAAGATGAAAAGGTCAACAGAGAATGTGGAGGGGGAGTTAGGCGATGGAGCGTTTCGTCAGCGTTGCTGCAGCCACACCTGTCTGTGCTCATTTTTGTGACTATGCAACTGGAACCAGACTACTAGCTGCAAACCACAAAAATGACACAGACAGCTGTGCAATACCTCGCTACTGCGCTCCATCGCTCTCAGAAAGAGACAGACAGAGGTCGAGACGATAAAAGAGACTGAAGTGAATGGAGGGATTAAGAGTATCATGATGGAATGATATCGTGGCAGCTGGGAGAAAAGAGAGAGCAAATGGAGAACATGACGTCAAACTGACATATACATGAATTCACACAGAGCTGTCATGGTTTTGGCTGCAAAAAAAAAAAGTTTTTTGTAATGTAATTTCTAAATATTATTTGTCATTTTTGTGTATGAAAGTTATAGTGTATGCTTATTACACTAACACCTTAAGAATATGCAGTCATTTGTTTACACTAAACTGAAAAGCTGTAAAATGACATGAATAAAAAAATTAAATAACATTTTTTATAATTGTTAAAAATATCACCTATCCCAATTACAATAGAATAAATTACAATAATGATGATTCTTATTATTTTATAGCATTTTATTGCTATTAGAGTAAATAAATGACAATCAGGCAATAATTAAGCCTTCATACATGTGCAAGTAACGTTGTACGTATTATGTATGTTTGTGAGCATGTGTAGTACCTGCGGAAGTCCAGCAGAGGGCGTGTGGAGGTGGGTATTCCCTGTGCGGGCCAGCTCAAGAAGTGGAACTGAGTGAGGGTGCGAGTTTCCTGGGTTTGGACGTTCTTTAGGTAGAAACTACGCACCAGGAAGTCATTACACCAGATATGCTCAGACACCAGGTTCACCTGAGTGAGGTGATTGAAGGGTAATAAAATTTGATATAGTTTACACTACATAAAGTGAACAGC